GTGGAAGTCTTGGAACAAAAACAGTGGAGTGGTTAATCTTACAGGCGAGAAACAAAGGACCCTAGGACCATCAAGGGAGAAGAGCACAAGCGGAATGTGGGACCTTATCCAGAGAAGCAGCAACACCAAAGATGGAGGCAGAGATGGGGACATGGAGAGAGGGAGCAGCTGAGGACTCTAGATACATGGAAAGAGAATTACTGAGAACAGGTGGCCATGAGGCAGGCTTCCAGAATGTGCCCTTTGGTGATGTAAATTATTGTATATCCCTGAGTGTTTGGTTTTTTTAAAGCGCTAAAATGAATAGAGAGAAATATGTTAACTGATGGCACATGGAAGGGATTATAATCATTGTAATCAAAGTATATGATTGTTGAATATGAAACTGATGACATGTCCTGTAAACTTTCACTCAATTCACACACACACAAAAATAAAAATCACAAGCTTTCAACTCAAATCATGTGTATTCATGAAGCTGCTTTTCAAACTGGTTGTTTGACATTGAACAAACCACTTCACCTCTCTTTGTCTCAGTTTCCATCTTCCTGAAACTCTGAAAATATGATGTCACCTAATAGTGCTAATTTCTAATTAAGCAAGATAATGTTATTTAGAACAATATCAAGAACACAAGACATGCTGCCATTAGTGTTGATTAATATTACAGTATTTTTAGTTATCATTACATTAAAACGGACTGAATAATTTAGCCGAGTCACCTAGAAAATAGCTTTCAATCAAATGAAAGTAGGCTTCATCAACAGCCAGGTTAGGTTCTAGGATTGTCTATTTGCTACTTGGTTTACGAATTTTACCAACCTAATTATTTTACATCACTTTATACTAAATCCCTTAGACCTTCAATCACGCCCAATCCAGGACATATTCAATGTATTTCCTCTAGAAATCCATTAAAGTTTATGTTGTCACTTAAGAGTCCCTTTTTCTTACATATTTCATTTTCAACTGGTTTATATTTTCATTTTTTCTCCAATACCTAATCCTTGACTCACAATCAGAAAAAATATATATACCACTATCATTTTGGTATTTTCTCCACTATAATTTCTTCAAGCTTGCCTTCTAAGGACATAGTAATATGCCACACTATGAACATACTACCTAATTGTGTACAATGGGGAATAAGGAAGCTATTGATTCAGAGTCAAGATACTAATTTAGAAGGATATGACCTGAAAAATTTTAATGACATATAATGTAACAATAAAATAAAGTAGAAGAGAACTGAAAAGGTCAGAGTATGTCATGTGGTAAGAATAGTGTCCTGGATAATTTGGCTATCAGTACTTCATATACGCTGTATATATGGATACACTGGAAATGTAAAACTAAGAATTTCTCTACCTTAAGAAATTCCTGCATTGCATTAATCCCTGCCTTCTTTTTCTATTATGAACAGATAGCTTCATTTTGTCCCCTTGGTTTGAAATAAAGGCAGTGATGATGTACTGAGATAAAACCATGGGAAATGGAAGAGGCATGTGCTGTGATATTACTGTTACAGCGAGAAACTCAGGAGAATTAGGAGAGCAGAGCAACCAATGGGCATGAAACAACTGGAAGATTCACAAGTTCTGCTCATCTGTGTGCACAAGAATGCCTTCTAGAGATGTACAAAGGATTCTTGAGGAATCACTGGCACCTCTAAACACTTGTTTGTTCTATTCAAAATCATTTTCATGAATAGTGTAGTGAAATTGGGGGATAGAGGGTAGACATAATATGGAAAAGTTTTCAACATTCAGGTAGTGGTGTAGGCATAAAGGCAAGCAGGCTTTGTAGTTTTATTAGGTGTTTTTACTTTTCATAAAGAGAAGAGACCATTAAACCAAGTTCATGTCTGGAAGAATCACTAAGTTGTCAGAGTGTGTTGGAGTTAGTGTTAGGCACTGGAGTTACGGTTAAAGTTTCAGGTTTAGGGTTAGGTGGTTGTTGGTAAGTGCAAACAAGTCAGTTCCAACCCATAGCAACCCTGTATAAGGTTTCCAAAGAGCAGCTGATGAGCTTGATCCATTGACCTTTAGGTTTAAACTGACTTACAATTCAATTCATTAACCCACAACCTCCTAGGTTAAGTTAGTGTTTAATATTTAGAGTTTAGAATTAGGGGGATGCTTTGTGTTTATGGTTAGGGTTAGGGTTCAGGGTTAAGGTTGATGGTAAACGTAAGGATGATGGCATTGGTTAGGAGTTAGGGGTGGATGTTAGTGGTTATGTAATCATACAAATCAGCAGGGAGTCTCAATGATACCATACAAGGGCTGTTTCTCCCTTAAAAAAAATAATGTTCATGAACAGCATAGTTAGATGAACTGGATTATAGACAGTAGGAATAATAGTTTCAAAAGTCAGGTAGTATTCTACCCAAAATGGGGGGGGGGGAAGGGAGGGGCAGGGACTACAAAGGCAAGAAGTGACTGGCTTACAAGCTTTCAAGAGGGAACCTAGATCCAGAGGGCCTGGAGGAAGGTAGAATCTCCAGTGAGTAGTATCCAATCTGCCTATGCGGGGCTGATGAAATGAAATGCAGATGGGTCTCTTGTGATACAATAGTGAATAATTGTTATAAGGACTGATTGTGAGGGTTGGAAATGTAAAGGTAGACATTTTATAGCAAGGAGGGGAGTGATGAACTTTCCAGTGTAGGAGCTGAAGTCCCTAGGACCATCAACGGAGAAGAACGGAGAACGGGACCCTACCCAGAAAAGCAGTGATGCCTGAAATGGAGCCAGAGACAATGACGTGGAGCGATGGAGCAGCTGGAGACTTTAGATCCAGAGAGGGAGAGGGACTGTGTGATGAAGACCCGGGGGTGTGGGGGGCAGGCTTGCAGGGTATACCCTTTGGTCGGTTGATGATGCATAGAGGGGATTGTAACCATTGCAAGGAGACGATATACGATAGAATGAATGTAAAACTAATGTTCTCCCATGTAAACTATCATAATTCACAATAAAACATTTAAGGAAGAAAAAAAAGGGTTGTTAACCTCAAAGTCAGCACTTGGAATCTCCTAGTTGTTGGGTGAAAGAAAGATGGGATTTTGGACTCCTGTAAAGATTTTAAGCCCTAAAAAGTTAAATGAAGATTTAAAGCCTCGCAAAAAAACTAATAAAGTCAGGTAGTATTGTAGGCCAAAAAAGTTAGTAGATTTTGTAATTTTGTTAGTTTTTTTTACTTTACATAAAGAGAAGAGACCATTAAACCAGGTTCATTTTTGCAAGAATCACTAAGTTGTCAGAGTTGGTGTTAAAATTAGGGTTTGGGATCTTGCATTGGAGTTAGAATTAAGGAACTTACATTGGAATTAGGGTTAAGGTTTCAGGTTTAGGGTTAGGTTGTTGTTTTTGTTATGTGCCGTCCATTCAGTTCCAACCCATGGTGGTGGTGGCTGTGTGCCGTGGAGTCAGTTCCATCTGAAGAGCGGCTGGCGAGCTTGAACCACCGACCTTAAGATTCAAACTGACTTTGCAGTTCAGCACACCACACCAGGACTCCTAGTTGTAATCACTCCTAAACGGAGCAGCTGAGCCAACTCACTTTCTCTAAACTCTGCAGATGCAAACCCCAAGCATTAGACTATCTGTGTCTCTTATGTCTTATCCAGCTTCCAGCATGGCAGCCATGGAAATCTTACTGAGGCCTCTGATGCTGCTGAATCCTGGGGAAAATGGAGCAGAAAGTTGTGAGCATTTTAAAGATGAACACTGCTACAACTTTAATAGTCTGTTGTTGGTTTGTTTTTTTAAATTAGGAAACATCTTCAAGTTTTCTTAAATAATTTCTCTGTATTAGATGTAATGTTCAGTTTTGTTTTGTTCATGAAGTGACTTAATGGCATTTTATTTCCATATTAACCAACTTTCCAAACATAATTCTTGTTAAGTGCCATTGAGGCAGTTCCGACTCTTAGTGACCCTGAACAGGTTTCCGTGGCTGTAAATCTTTATGGGAGCACAAAGCCTCATCTTTCTCCCATGGAGCAGCTAGTAGTTTCGAACTGCGACCTTGCAGTTTGCAGCCCGATACTTAGTCAATATGCTACCAGAGCTTGTTAAGGGATGTTAAGTCAAGTCTGAATCACAGTGACCCTGTACAGGGTTTCCAAGGAGCAGCTCTTGGGTTTGAACCGACGCCCTTGTGGCTAGCGATCAAGCTTACCCTACAGTGCCAACTTGCTGAAGATACTTAGAAGAAAATCTAAACACAGTCTACACCTTTCCTCACTGAAACCTTTGGTGAGTCAGGGTAACAATGACCTTGCTGGGAATCTTCTATCAACTTTGTCTTTTCCATCCAGTCATGAAGTACATTTCACAGAACATTTTTTCTCTATAGTGCCCTTCAATGTTGCCAAAAAATGCACCCTACCATCAAATTTATCAGGCAAAAGGAAAGGATTCACTAATGTCCATCAGCACCTTCAGGCCAACCCTACAAGAAATGAGGAAAATAGACTACACAGTGAGAGAAATAACACCTCCACCCCTGAACACCAAGAGAGTTCTGAGGACCATAGACTTAGACACCAGATACCTTCAGTATAGCTACACTTGGGCTCTGGAGAATCATGTGTGAATCACTTGATTTCCAGTATCTGCTTCCCTGGCAAGGAGAGTCCCCAGGCTTGGAAAGTTGTTTAGATTTTAATTATCTAAATAGAATTGTTATAGAAGTTCCTGCTGTAATATTTCACTTTTGAAATAAGAACTCTGTTTTATACTAATCCCCAGCATTATTATTTCTGTCCTTCATTAAATTAGGACAGGCACTGTCTCTGTCTATGCTGCTGAGACTAAGAAGGATTGAGAGTAAGTGTGCTGAGGAGTCAATTTAGCCCCTTCTACAAAAATAAGGCACCATCTACACAGAGTTGTTACATCTGAAAAAAACATGAAACAGATAGAGGCACACAGTGAAGCAGCTGGGAGATCCCAGCCTCACACATCTGCTCCCCAGGTTGGTGGGGTTTATGTTCAAGCATGTAACATCGTGGGAGGGGAATAACCATGCTGCTGACAGTAATAAGTTCCAAAATCTTCATCTTCCAGGCTGCTGATAGTGAGAGTGTAGTCTGTCCCAGACCCACTCCCACTGAATCGGTCTGGGATGCCATTGGCCCTGCTTGATGCAACATAGATGAGGAGCCTGGGAGCCTGCCCAGGTTTCTGCTGATACCAGGCTAATGCACTGCCAACACTCTGACTGGACTTGCAGGTGAGGGAGGCTCTTTCACCAGGAGACAGAGAGAGGGAAGCTGGGGACTGCGTCATGACAATGTCGCCCATGGCATCTTAAGTTGGAAATAAAACACAAAGTCACACATATGATCATATGATCACCATACCACACTGTCTTCCCAGAAGACCCAATCTGTATTAAAAATAAGCCTATATTGAGCTTTATTCATATTGCTTGCCTGGCAAAGGTATCAGGTCCCAGGACCTAAGAACATTGAGAAAAGTTTTCACTGAGAGAACCATCCCTATTGCCCTCACCTGGGAGCCAGAACACTAGCAGGCAGAGAAGCTGAGCTGGGCCTTCCATGGTTCACTCTGTGCCCCAAGTGAGACAGATCTTCCCCTGAGTGCAGACCCAGCATTCATAGGGGCTCTGGAGGACCAGGTGGACTGGAAGGAATATGCAAAGCAGGTGGGTGGGGCCAGCTGGGCTTCCAGCTGCAGAGAGGCTTTGTCTACTCTTCTCTGCAATGAGCAACCATCCTCAGGAGACCCAGGCAGAAAAGCCTTAGACTCAGACTTAAAGCAGAATTTCCAAGGACCACTGAATTTAACTCTTGTATAATGCACTGGATTGCAAGATTGATTTGAACCTGCATTGCATTAATCCCAGACTCCATTTCCTATTATGAACAGAGAGCTTCATTTTGTCCCCTTGACTATCATATCTTCAAGGTGTTTGAAATAAAAGAAGTGATGATTTACTGAGATAAATCCCTGGGAAACAGAAGAGGCATGTCCTGTGATATTGCTATTATAGTTAGAATTTCAGGACAATTATTGGAGCAGAGCACCCAATGGGAGTGAAAGAACTGGAACATTCACAAGTTCTGCTCATCTGTGCACAAGAATGCCTTCTGTTGTCGTTGTTGTCAGGTGCCATCGAGTCGGAACCAACTCATAGCGACCCCATGCACAGCAGAATGAAACAATCCGATCCTGGGCCAACCTCACTACCGCTGCCACACTTGAGTCCATCAATG